CCGGATAAAGCGGATGAAGATGGATGGATGGATATGAGAAGGTCAAGGCTGCCAAGGTAGTAAGAAAAATACTGGCTTTTTCCTTACAGCTTTTGGTGGAACAGAAAAGTTTAGTGACATATCTTTAAAAAACATTAAAACATCAAATTAAAAGCGGCATCAGATACACTGAACAGGGAAGTCTTCTTTGTCCATCTGATTTATTCCAACAACTGTGTTGTAATAAAGAAGCTCTTCATTCACACCTCTCATGTTTGTCTGTCTTCCTTCACCCACAACCAGCCAGGCAGATCACTGCCCCTCCCTGAGCCTGGTTCTGTTGGTGGTTTCTTCCTGTTAAAAAGGGAGCTTTTCCTCCCCCCCTGTCCCCAAGTGCTTGCTCATTGGATGGGTCATCTGATTGTTGGAGTTTTCTCTCAATTATCGTAGAACCTTTACCATTACACTATAAAGCACTTTGAGGAAATTGGCGCAACTTGGAGCTATATAATGTACTAATTTTAAACTGCAGACTGCCACTGTGTTGGCTGGCCATTTCAACTCATTTCTTTGCCATTGCATATGTGTTTACAATTTTCATGTAACCTACAATAACAGAGAAAATCCAACAATCCAACGTCACCCTACGAACAAGCTTTTGGCAACAGTGCCCTCTGAAGCAGAAAGTTGTTGGTTGGGAACCACTACTCTAAACATGAACCTTATAAAACTTAAACTTAGCTTCTGGAACTAAAAGTCTCCAGAATGACTTCTCTGCTTCCAAAAATAAGGCTACTTGTGCTGAAATCTGATGAGTTTATGGTCTCATTAACTGGTTTTAGATCTTATCACTGGCAACATAAATCATTAGTAAATCATGATTTCAATTAGAGTCAAAAAGAAAAACACTGTAGGGTATGCTTAGTGGAGGAACTACGCTGTGACTGGGGGTGCAGAGTACCTTTATTTCTCAGTGAGACTTCTTAGTTGGCTCATGAAGTTTGGTTTCAAAAAGGCTAGGACAGCAACAGAAAAATGATGCTATGGTGATTCTCCTTACCTGTGGAGCTGTAGATATTCTCTGGGCCTGTTGAGAAGGTGCAGGAACCGGTCCACAATTTTATTTTTGCCAACACCCTGTGGAGGGACATCATCATCAGTCTTTATATGTGGACTGTGTTTGTAGTTAGACCACAAAGATAGAAAGAAGCATCCATTTCAACTTCCAAAGAGGCAGGACTGAGAGGAAGAGCCAAGTGCATCCCTCTAATTTTGATGGTGCTTTGCTGTGACAGGGGCTGTTCTTCGGGACTCCCACCGGCATCCCACAGAGCCTGTCGGATCTCTCGGTCAGTCTGTCAAACGTCCAGTAAGTCGCTCTGACAGCTCGTAATGCCTCAGCGTGGACCATGCATGGTCACACACTCAGATTTGCAAATGCCTTCTGCCACTCAGTCCCTCTCATATCCAAGCGCACAAATAAACACAAACACAAAACTGCACACACACAGAAACACTCCTCTGGGCTCACAGCACACCATGTCCAGTCATCCATCCTCATCTATCCTCCCTTTAACCCTGCCCAGTTGGACAACGCTGGGGGCACAGAGTGTCCCCCAAGGAGTTGCTACATGTGTCCTTATGCTACTTATGCCTTATGTGAACTGTGACTGCGCAGGGTTGGAGGGTGACATGAGGACGCAGGGAGTCTATTTCGTAACTCTTCCCTCCATGCTCGAACAGAGCTGACATGGGTGGCCTACTTCACTAAAATCCACTACTGCAGAAATGAGACAAAACCATGGTCTGCAAACACAGATCTGACCTCTGTTTATTTTACATGACAAAAAGTGGGTTTGTAATCCTGACCATAAATGGACCAAAGGTTGCCCAGGGTTCTTTTCTGTGGGCAGAGGAAATTACAATATGGTGAAATTAATACGCTTTCAAACATCACTCACCTGGTTTCCCACTAAGAGGAGGTGCTCTCCTAACAGAAAGTCTTTCAGCATGTCCTCCATCACCATCATGTGCTGCAGAGATATTTAAGCAAACACGTATTCAGCTGAACAAGTAGCTCAGATTGTAATTTAACCCAGATGGATGTTGCAAAGAGCAATACTGCTTACAGTTGAGAATAAATCAGCTTAAAATGTATTAAAAACAACAAAGTTTGCTCAGAAAACAGGTCATTCATAAAGTAGGTCATCCTCATTGCTTCCATCCTTTCTCAACCTCTTCCACCTTTTTTATTTCGGACCAAAACACGGGCAGGCAGAGGAAAAAGCGCAAAATGGGGACATGAAGAAGGAGATAAATCATCAGTGTTGCCAGAGGATGTCACAGTATCATTACCATGGCTGGTTGTTCTTTGGATATACTACAATTAATGTCACCAATAAGGCAAGGATTAGGCACAAGACACTAGCATTAAAGCAAACAAAAACCTATTGATTTATCTGCAGAGGAAAGCGATCTGTGAACAGGATACCAAAGGCAAAATTTATGGAACTTGCTTGAGTTGTGATATTTGTTACCACTCAGCATCAATCAGCACAGAGCAACAAAAGTAGGACTGTGAAGAATCTGAAAAGAAAGATAAGCATTTGGAGTTCTGCCCATTTTCACACCCACAGCATGTACCCTGAAGCCGATGTGACTTTTGTATTTTTGGCAACTGAACATTTTAAAAACTGAACAACACAAAATCCATCAGGAGGACGCTTTTTTAAATTTTTTTAAAATCCTATTTAAACACCAAAATTCAATGTGTATCACACCAAACATTCAGCAGTAATCATGCCTGGCGTACACACCACGACACAGACAGAGAAGAATTTTATTATACCATAAAAAAACCCAATACCAACCAATCAGAGGTCGCTAACAGTGTATTGGGGCTGATGTTACTGCCAGGCCAGATTAGCATCTCTAAAACTATCTGATAAGGGTCCAACACAGATGAGAAAGAGCATGGCCAGAGGAAATATCAGCTAATACCGGAACTAAAAGCAAAATCCTTACACAATGAAAACTTTAATCTGACAAAGGCAAGTATGATAACGATGACAACAAGGGACACAAGGGACAGAGCTGTGTTTTCATTGGTGTATGATTGCCTGAACTGGGTGGTGGTGAATCTGCAGAGCTAAGCTTTCTCAGTTTGAGGGGGAAACAAAAAAAGAGCAATTGAAATTCAGATTACGCTTTACTGGTTGTAATCTGCCTTAGCACTTATGTGATCAAATCTGGGTCATATGCTGAGACTGAAAAAAGTCTTTTCCAGCCCTCTCACAGCTACACATTTGCTTTAGAATGAGACATAAAATACTGATGGTTGTGAAGTGCATGCTTACCTGGGGATTATCATAGAAGAGCACATCAGGAACCTTCATTTTCTGGTCAGCATTGTAGATGGGAGCGGAGACACTCCCAATGGTCAACACACCGTCCTTTACCATACCTGTAGAAATACAGCAATGTGGGCCATAAACATGGGCTTCTTCATTTAGACTGACTAATGCTGGGAATGGTTCCTTTTACCCCAACTCAGACTTTGACCATACACATTCTCACATGCAGCCCATGCCCAAACCTTTCTGGACATGACAGAAACGCATGTGAGACAGGGGCGCCTCCAGAATTTTTTAATTATAGGGGTGGCCATATGGGAGCCACTAAAAATATTGGGGTGGGACACCAAAAAGAGAATTTACAGTTTTATTATGCTGTTATCAAAAAAGAGAGAGTGCACCGGGAGGGCGTGTTTGCAGTACTGGTGCCTTCTGGAGCTGTTTAATTGAATTGTCTAAATAATAATCGGGCGCGCTGTGTGGTACAGCCAAGTTTGTGCTTTATCTTTGGTGAGTAAAATGTTATTATTATTAGCGGATACCTTAGGACTTCACCATCTTGTACAAATATTCTCACTTCTGGCTCAAAAATAAAATAAAATCCAAGTCTAACGCTCCAGAAACCTATGCCGCCATGGTGGCTAGGTCTATCTTTTAAGTACAGTCTTTGGTGAAAATATAACATTGGACACTTTAACCTGCTGCTGCTGAGTAAAAAGTTGGTGTGATGTCAGATTGTGCTGATGCACGACTATCAAAGCTAACAGGAAATATTCTTCCAGTGGAAAAGAAGAACTATCAAAATTCATAACATAATGTGGATGAATAATGCATATCAGAAATCTGATACTGTCATTCATGTCTAGAAGATGTATCAGTGTAGTTGGCAAAAATTCGGAAACATTACATTTCTATTGCTTTTTTGTTATTGTTTAGGTACCTTGCCTGTACTGCAGGCAGCACGTGTATTGAAGCTGCAGTTCTCTCAGAACTGACAGGGACAGCATGCTAGTGTCCTTAAATGCTGAAGAAGGAGCAATACACCCAAAAGCACAGGGGAAACTGCAGGCAGAAGATGGTAACTAATGCTGCTACTGCAATATCTCTGCCCATGCTTTAAGAAAGGCAAAAGGGCTATACACAAACAATGCTAATGTTGCTAATTTCAAAGCAAAGGAGAAAATACCTCAAATTTCATGAAGCAGCTAAAAGCATGGAATTACAGTTTCATTAAGAATTCCAGGTGGATGAGTTTCAATTCAACATTCAACAACATCCACAGAATTATCCTTCTTATGTTATCCTGAAATACACATTGGCACTTTGTATGAGACAGCTGGCTTTGCCTGGTTAAAATCAGCTTTGCCCCATCAGTTACAATATTTGCAATAGCTAATATAGAAATGCTTAACTGAGCATAATCTAATGAATGTCATACCTCATAGTGACATTAGCAAGCTACTAAGGAACCAACCCAACATTTCCTGCTAACAAAGCATTGTGCCAACATTTTAAGTACATGCCACCACCAAGTTAGTGGATTCAAACGACTTTTTTGACAAAGGAGGTTAAAAACATGGAAGAATCATTTTGTTTTGGCATCAAATGAGCATCAAGAATCATGTACCAATATTAGTAACCCAGTAGTAAATATCCTGGATTGTGACATGTAATACAAAGAAAAATAATCCATGGAGTTCTACAGCATCCTTTTATTTTATGTTTTGATCTTACCTACCAATAGCATCATTAGCTGATTTGTCACTGAGCATTTTGTCACCAGCTTTTTATTCATAATAATCCCACTCACTGGTTTACATGAGTGGTGCTCCTAGCTCTCACATACCAACTCTAAACTCACACTGAACACTAATCACACACTCAAGTGATTCCCTGTTCAAATTATTAGTGCTTTGGAAAACATCCATTTTACCTGTAACCAGAATAATTGCATGCATGAGAGAGTCAGTCAGACCTGATTTTTGACAATGCTGAGAGGTGCTTGTGAGTCAGAAGATGAGATTATTTTGGGTTGAGCTGTTTGTTTTCTTTGAGGCCAGCTGAATCCTGCCTCCCATCTTTTAAATAATACATGTGCCTGTGCTACCAGTATGTCTACACAGTAGAAGTCGACATTTATTCTTTACAAGGAAACAGATCACAAGTTCAGAATGAATGCTAAGAGACAAAACTTTCCGGCTACCAGCTTTACAAGTTATTTGTCATTTATCGTGCATTGTTCCATTTCTGTAGAATAAGCGATTGAGGTTTCCTTTGGAGGGGGGTTACAGTTCAATCTTCAGTTATTAACCTATGTTCCGTAATATTGGTATAATAAAGACTTTATTGCTGTATGTAAATGAAGCGAACTGATTTGTGCTTCTGCTGGTATACAGTGCTGTGCAGAAGTCTTGAGTCACAATCTTAACGGTCCTCTATGAATCATTCAAGAACAAAAAAGGCACCTAACTAAAGGGATGAGCCTGTGTTATGTCAACAACACATTAAAACACAGAATTTCGCATAATATACCATTTTAAATCTAATTGATCTAAGTGACTGGAACTCACAGGGATAATCAAGAGAGCGATCAGCGGGGTCTGTTGCATCCTGTATGGAGCAGTTCATGAGGTTTTTTTGAAGAGAGGAACGGGCCAGGCTGGGCAGAAATCTAAAACACACACATACACACACACACACACACACACACACAAAATAAAAACCCACACAGTTGCCTTGTTTTTATGACACACAAATCAAATATTAACATTAATTTCTGTCTATCCATATTGCTGAAACCTAACCCAGCCATCACAGAGTGAGATGTGGGGTCTACCCTGGACAGCTTGTGTGTGTGTGTGTGTGGGTGTGAGCGAGAGAGAGAAAGAGAAAGAGAGTGTGTACCTGGAGAGACAAGCCTTATTAACTGCATGAGTGATGCTCTCCTCAGGGTGCCGAGAGAGACGGCGACAGATCCTTAGCAGCTGTCTAGTGGAGAGAGACGAGGCCAGAGACTGTGCCTAGCAACAGACACCATACATGAGCAGCCTCCAAACACCTCTACCTTTATATCTGCACGAAAAAAATATCTGCAATCTGACATGTGACTGTTGGACTGTACACTTCTGACATCCATTTACACCACCTGGAACGAGAACAACACCTGTATTTTGGGAGGTTTCTCAAAACTCCACTACCATGTACCTGTATCTGTAGTTTGTCACATGCTAGGTCTGGTGAAGTAAACCCAAAATACTGTTGTAATAATGCAGTAATAATGTTCATGTCCCGCCCACCATTTGGGAACTGCTGCCATATGTAAAGCACACACACTTACTGTGGGGTCATTTGTCTTGCGGAGACTGTGTGCAAGGTGCAGTAGCTGCTCTGCTCCTTCCATCGGTACATTAGGAGCCTAAAAACAAAACAAGAAAAAGAAGTCAAGAAGGACTTATGATGAGAGTGGAAACAGAGGTGCTGTCTTCCAGTTAGAAAAATACTGGCAAACACCAGTGCTACCCCTCAGCCTCCTAGAGACACATGTATGGGATCAATTTCAAAATCCTACATCGCCTTGTTTTCCAGTTATCAAATTCAAAGAATTTTAACAAAACTTGACCACTGACCTTTGACCAAGGTCAAGGTCACTGAGATTGAAACCCATCCAAGATTTTTAGTAGGTCTCAGTATTTGTATGTCTCACCAGTCCCTGTATGAGGCCCATCTCCTCTTCTTTGGCCAGCGGCATGACATTGTGGTAAAGGAACATAGTGAGCACCTCGGGGCTCAACCACTGCTGAGCTCTGCTGTTGCTGCCTGCACTCCCCACGATAGGGGGTTCTGCTAGGGCCAGCACTCTGAACGATGGATGAATGGGGAAAACGGATCTAAAAAGACACAAAAATAAACACACACGTGGATCACGCTGGCACACAAGTTGAACATCTGTTCAAGTCGATGTGGAACGTAGGTGCACACAGTGTTGCTCACGGATGTATCCGTTTGCGTGTGTGTGTCCTAGCCAATCGAGCTCAGGGTTAAGAGCATGACTTTTGACAGCTGCCCATGAAATCATCTGATTCAAGAGGACAGCAATGTCCATTTCTATCAAACCACGGAGACACCCATGCTGCGGCAGGATATATTTACACTACTGTGGGCAAAGTGGGCGCTAACCATCATCCAAGTCACTGGATGAATGTGTGGGAAGATATTTTATGCATAAAAACACACTCCACTATCTGCTGTACTCCCTCTGTTTGGTTGTATAATGTAGTGAGTATGAAACATTTAATTGTGTGAATGCCGTGAGATCCTGTTTCTCTTTAAACTTTATTCTACCTTATTCTAGTTGCTCAGACCTTTGCTGGTTAACTACTCCCTCAGTTTTCAACCGATTTCCACCATTTAAACTTTATACTGTTCTGCTCCTTCTGCCACCTATATCTTTTCGTGCTAATAACGTTTATACTTTTTGAGATATTAACCTTTTTATTCAATTTTTGGGCCAATTTTGCTTAATGGGACCACATTATTAGTGTGATCACCATTATTACACCTAAATTTCTGGCCTGATTGGTAGTTTCTAGTTGGAACAGTTTGAGCTGATTACTGATATTTAATCAATCTTTTTTGGGTCCAAAGATAAGTACTTCAGTTTTGTTATTGTTCAGTTGAAGGAAATTATGAGACATCCAATTATTAATTTGCTCAATGCATTTATTAAGAGTTTGGATAGGTTCAATATCACCTAGTGACATTGAGATATAAAGTTGAGTATCGTCTGCATAAATCCTACCTGTGACGGTTGCCATACATCTTCCCCGCTTGCATGCACTCTACTTTCTTGACACTCTTCAGTGTACCCTTTCCCATACAGCCATCTTCAGCAAGCACTTCTGCTTCTACACCTCTTTTCAGCAGATAATTCTGCTTTTCAGCTGATTTCAGCAGATTCCACTACACGGCATTCACACTGCATTTTCGCAGGAAATGCAACTTTTTCTAGTTGTGTGGATACCCTCAAAGGGCATCCACACTATTGAGTTCCTGTTTCTCTTTATTCTTTATTATTCCTCTAGTTGCTTCTGTACGTTTTTTGCCGATTAACTACTCCCTCAGTTTTCAGCCGATTTTCTCCATTCAAACTTTAAAAAATTCTGCTCTTTCTGCTAATGACTTGACTTTTGGTGCTCATAACTTCTATACTTTTTGAGATATTGAATTTTTTTTGGCAATATTTTTTGCCCATTTCTGCCATATTATCAGTGGCGTCTCTGATTTTCCTTGCCGGGGGGAGCTGTGTTTTAGCTCAGTGAGATGAGCAGCCGTTCTCAGACTGGGAGGCCCGGGTTCAAATCCTGCTTATGGCAACATTTCTTTCAGTTACCAATTCAACTTATTTAACTCTTTTCAACACAAATTTCAGCTTTTTCACCCCTTTTCAGCAAAATTTTCAGTTTTTTCTGCTGTTTTCAGAAAAAACTGAAAAAACTTTTCAGAATTTTCACATCTTTTCAGCACAAATCTCAGCTGTTTTCAGAAAAAAAAACTCTTTTGAGCAGAAATTCTGCTCATTCACCTCTTTTCAGCGCAACGTTCTTCTTCTTTCCATATTTTCTGTGGAAATTCTGCTCATTCATTTCTTTTCAACAGAATTTTCAGAATTTCCACCTCTTATCAGCACAATTCTCAGCAGCTCCTGCTCATTTCAGCAGAATTGTCAGTCTCTCCACCTTTTCTTTGTGAGAATAAGTTTGGCTCAGTGAGATGAGTAGCCGCCTTGAGACCAGGAGGGCCAGATTCGAATCCTGCTCACGGAAACTTTTTTTTCACCACTTTTCAGCAAAAATTTCTGCTTCTTCACCTGTTTTCAGAAGAATTTTCAGTTTCTTCACCACCATGCAACTTTTTGCAACTTTTCAACTTTTTCAGCTTTTTTCAGCAGCCATCTTCAGCGTTAAGGCATCCACACAGCATTTTCGCAGGAAATGCAAATTTTTCTAGTTCTAGTTGCTCCGACCTTTGCTGGTTAACTAGTCCCTCAGTTTTTATCCAATTTTCACCATTCGAATTTTAGACTGTTCAGCTCCTTCTGTTAATTCCTGCTATGTCTTTAGGTGCTCATAACGTTTATACTTTTTAAAATATTAAGCTTTTTTGATCACCAGTTTAGCTTGCCGGGCTGAGCCATGTTTTAGCTCTGTGAGATGAGCAGCCGTTCTCAGAGCGGGAGGCCCGGGTTCAAATTTCGCTTATGGCAACACTTTTTTCATTTAACAGTTCAACTTTTTAAACTCTTTTCAACACAAATTTCAGCTTCTTCACCCCTTTTCAGCACAAATTACAGATTCTTTTTTCAGAAGAAACCTCAGCTTCTCTTCCTCTTTTCAGCAGAAATTCTGCTGATTCACCTCTTTTCAGTGCAAAGTTCTGCTTCTTTAACCCTTTTCAGTAGAAACTTCTGCTTCTTCACCTCTTTTCAGCAGAATTTTCAGTGTCTTCATCTCTTTTTAGCACAAATCTCAGCCTCTTCTGCTCATTTCTGCAGAATTTTCAGTTTCTTTATCCTGTTCAGTCACCTGAGAACCAAATTGGCTTAATGAGATGAGCAACCACCTTGAGACCAGGTGGCGCAGGTTCAAATCCTACCACATCTTCCCTCCTCACACTCACCCTGCTTTCTTGACACTCTTCAGTGTAATCTTTCACATAAAGCAGTTTTCAGCAAAGAGTTCAGCTCCTACACAGTGTTTTCAGCACATAGTTCTCCTTCTTCTGCTGTTTTCAGAATCCACTACACGGCATTCACACTGCATTTTCGCAGGAAATGCAACTTTTTCTAGTTTAAAGAGGAGTTTTTACACATCTCCTTTTATAATGTCATATTTTCACCTCTTCTACATATTTAGACAATGTAACAGCTTTGTTAAAGCACATTTTAGATTAATTTTATGTGACTGATATAAAAAGAAAGAATTCTCATATTATTCCCATGGCCAAAAAAACCAAAACGTAGGCCTCAGTCTGAAGTCAGTTTGATCAAGAATATTAAAAAAAACAATTAAAAATAAATGCCTGAAATTTTCACTGCCCTCTATTGAACCACAATAGATCAGCAGCAGTTTTTGGAAAGGAAGTGATTTGGTAAGAGCAGGAGGAACTAACTGAACTGAGAGAAGCTAAGCTCTGCTTATCTACCTTTGGACAGTTTTTAGCCGACTGCACTCCACCCTTTTCCGGCTGAGAACCATGGCCTCAGATTTGGAGGTGCTGATCCCCTTGTAGTTGGAACACATCCTCTGGTCCCCCTTCTTAAAGATGGGGACCACCACCCCGGTCTGCCAGTCCAGGGGTACTGCCCCTGATCTCCACGCAACATTGTAGAGGCATGTCAACCAGGACAGCCCTACAACGTCCAGAGCCTTCAGGAATGCGCTGACATTGCATTAAATCGAGCACCGGCTGCCCAGTTAAACTGTGACTATCACCAGGTAACGTGGGCGTGTTTCTTGAATTAGCAGCAGGTGTTAAACAGCTGACAAGTGAGGAGGAGGATGCATGCACGTAAACTGAGAGCCTGTTGAGCTGATTGCTGGTGTCGTGAGAAAAATGTCAGCTCCTTCTTTATGTTACAGAAGTACAGAGACACAAGACCAGGCGGAAAGAGACGATCGTTCGGTGCAAATGAGAATCTGCGAATGCAACATGTGGAACACGGAGAGTGGAATATGTAAACAAACCGGTTAACGTACCCCTCCCCCCCTCCCCCCAAAAAACAAACAAGCTAAAAAAAAACAAAATAAACAGTTAAGCTGGAACACCGGGGCTGTGAGCTTGGTACACTCTGTCAGCTGACTGTTAGCAGAGCTAGCACTTTTGTAAACATGTTCTAAGTTGACAACCTGACCAGACATGTGAAGATTACGCCACTACATTCGCGGCTGTAGTTGTGCAGTTTGTGACAGAAAAACGGGGCATTTTAAAACTACACCACCACCATTGCTGCCTGTGATTTGAAATGCATTCTGGGATAGCTGGCTGCCCCAAGTC